CGGACCTCATTCCTTACTGGTTAAGTATTATTTGCATCCAGCTGAAGTAATTATAATTGTTATAAATTGCATATCCACTTGTTATCAGGTAATTTATATTATATAAAAATATCTAGCGACAAAAACAATAACGGCATAAATAATTATTGCAAATGCAATAAATATAATAAAAAAATAAATATAGTCCACCCATGAAATGACAAAACACACAATAATCATAATAAAACAGTTAATTAATAAAGCAACCGATATTAGCTACAAAGAAGAAAAAAATCAAACAACAATATCTGATAATTATTATAATTATTTTATAACATTTTGCAGGTAGAGTATAATTGATTAAAAAAATAGCGAATATGGTAACAATTTCAAATCTCACAAAAATACACAGAAATTATTTTTTTTATTGTTTTGTTATAGTTTATCTTTTTTAAAATTAATTTTCGAGTAATTAACCACTTTTATAGAGGACCAAAAAAACGAACACTAGATAAGGTTTTAATCAATCAATTTCGTTCTGGAACATCGTGCGAAAAGTGAAACTATGCCACCTGTCACCCAAAATCAAAAAAAAAAAAAAGATTAAATAGAAACACGAGTTATAAAGTAAAAGACGCACACACTTATTTCTATAGTTGACTACATGTATTTAGGTAGGGTATGTTCTGATGGAAGTAATAGGAAAAATATTATTTAAATTGAATTAATACGAAAAAATACTGTTTAATGTATCCGATAAATATTTAAAATTACGATAAATATTTTAAATTACATACAGATGTGGTAACCCTGGCATTCAAAATTTTTAAATCCCAATCATCTCGAAAATACCAAAGGAGAAATAATAAAATGTACTCCACACTCATTAAAAGTGTCTCATCTTTTGAGAGCATACACACTGCTCTCCATCTCTCTCACAGTGTTTCACAGAGAAATGAATCATAAATAAAAACTACAAATAACAACACAAACAAACAAAATATGAATCTCTATGACAAGAAAGCACTCAACGAAAGTGACCTATTTTTTTGTCTTCGGCATTCGTACGTGTGTACGACGTACTTGGCGATATTTTGATATATATGTTTTTCGCTGAGAATAAAATACAGCCAAGAGACGCGACGTAAACGACCAAAACGTTGTGGAATTTTGTTGGGCGAAGTGAATGAACGAAAAAATAAACAAAAATGTAGAAACCAAAAAAAATCACAAATCTATTTTTGCCAAAAAAAACTAATCAACAGTGTTTCAGTGCAAACAATAGCAACAACAAACAGATGAAATTATCGAAAAAATACTACGGTAAAACTACTAAGTCCACACTAATCAATTGTGTTGTTTTGTAGAGATACCCCAACGAGCAGACACATTGGTATAATTGTCGTGCGCCGCACAGTGGGATTCAATCAAATTCTAAATAGTTCTGGAAGGTTTGAAGCAATTTATAAAGACAATAGCAACTTTTTTTTAAATTATGAAAAAAAAAAACAGTGAACGGAGTAGTATAGTCGGACGGGGCCGACCATATAATACCCTACACAACATCCACGAAAATCTAACTTTTCGTTATATGCACCCTCTTGAAACCTGACTAAAGGTTTCACTGATTATTACTAATATTCAGTAGACGAGGGATGTACTTGTCCAGATTCTCTTTACCGTGGGTTATGTTGTGACGTTAGGCTTTCAATTGTGGCCTATAGATCGACTCAAAAAAACACACATAAAATGTTAAGTTTTCGGTCCACTTCATCCCAAAATTATTATCTGATCATCACTGAAAATTATAGGCGTTGTCCTTGACCATAACTGGAATCTCATGGAAATTTTCAAAGCGATCAGCCCTCTAGTGTGGTTTTGGGTTACTAAACAATGTCTGAATACTAAGCACCTGTAAATATTTAAGTGTAGCTCCCAAATCTGAGTACATACGGCCATATAATTGGTATCAACTTAAAGGTCAAGCACTCCTTTGAACCACTCCTATAAACTTTTTGGGTCTAGGTCCTTCAGGGGTAAATATATACACCATATAATACAAATTTTGTAATTTTTCACACAAAAGTCAGGGTCCATTTGATCCGCTAAATATTTACCGATCTTTATCAAAACAGGCATGCTTATCCTTTAGCCCGATCCCCTTCTCCATGCAAAAATTCGCGGTGTTTGGACCATAATTGCGGCCTCTGGAGCGATCAGAAAATCAGACAAAAATCTTTTCCAAAAACAATAGGGGTCTTCATTGGACAGAACCCATTCTACATGCAAAATTTCGTGAAGATTGGTCCATAACTGTGGCCTGTATCGTGTTTACAAATTATAATGGACAGACGGACGGACGGACAGACACACATGTCTAGATCGACTCAACTAGTCGAGATATGACGATCGGTATACTTAAAGGTGGGTCTAGGACCAATATTTCGCGGCGTTACAAACTTTTGGGGCTGCACAAAGCTATAATACCCTGACAACATAGTTGTGTAGGGTATAAAAAACATTTATTGAAACATATAAAAGTTATGTAAGAAATATATACAATTGTCGATAAATACATGGGTGGCGTAGAGGATGATAGATACCAAGCAACGTCTCTGATTGGCTTTAACATGGTGAAGCCCAGGCTTATTTTGGCCTCCACGCGCTGTCACCTGGGGTAACTATTTTCATCGCCCGTTGAAATATTGAGCAGATATGTGCCGCGAGTTCACCCATAAGAACCATACAAAAAAAAAAATAAGTTGAGGCGTCGGGTTAGTTGCCCACACTCGGAAAACCCTTCCTACTATAAAAAATCAAAGATCAAGAAAACCAAACCCGCCTAATGTTGACCACCCCCGCCAACGTATAGAGGACCACGATCCGCGAATCTGCATTTGGAATGTGCGCACGTTGTACAGTACAGGTGTTTGATCGATTCCAGGAGCGCATGTCGATTGGGACCATTACCATTAGGGGTTCGCACACGTCTTAATGTAGCAGCAAAGGTGCGATCTAACACAAAACGGAAACCCGATGTCGGAAAGCTGCAAACACAACATGGAGCAGAAGCCTACTACGCTCAACTTACCCACCTTCTACACGAAAGCACTTCTTGTCCCGATAATAATATAGAAGCATAATGACAAAGAATTGGCCACTCCCTACTAATGCTGGGCAACCATGGAAACTGGAGCCTTTGCTTACATTGTATCAATAACTTCGTTCTCTGCGTTCTCTTTTTGTAAGACATTTCATATGGCGGTTTCTCCTTTACTCTCTTCTCTTTTTTACTCTCCTCTCTTTTTGCACACCTCTACCCCACAAACTGCAGCAAAAGCAAAACTCCTCTCGCCCGTGGTACGATCAGGAGTGTGGTAATGCTACTGATGTAAAAAACGCAGCATATAGGGCAACCCTGAAAATAGTAGCAACACGTAATGCGATGGAGAATTATCGAGAGAAAGAGAGACGAGAAATTTATTTTCAAAAGAAAGAATAAAAACCAAGAAAAACGTTAGCAAATCAAGATGTACAGGAGTCCCAATGGAGTCTGGAAATTCTACCAACGAGTAAAACACCAAACCGAAGGCTTTGATGGAAGCACATTCGCCTGTAGAGATGTAGATGGAAACCAGGTGACTGATACAAATAGCGCGTTAAGGATCTGAAAGGAGCATTTTGCAAAGCTTCTGGTATGAAATAGAGTGTATACTACCTAGCCGAGATGAGGTCAGAATAGCAAATAATCGGCTGAAGAATAGTAAAGCAGCAGATGCCGTTGGGCTACCTGACGAACTATTCAAGACTGGTGGTCAGATGCTGGTAAGGAGAATGCACCAGCAGATTAGTACAATATGGCTAGAGGAATGCATGCCCAATGATTGGAACATCATCATCATGTGCACAAAAAAGGAGACAAGACGATATGAGGAATATTGAGAAATAAGTCTCCTTCCCATTGCATATAAAGTTTCATCCAGCGTGCTGTGTGAACGACTAAAGCCAATTTCCAATGATATTATTGGACCAAAGCGACTTCAGACCTCACAAATCCTCCATTGATATTTTCATTCTGGGGCAAATCCTGGAAAAGACCAACGACCACGTATTCGTCGACTATAAAGCCGCATTCGACAGCCCTATCAGTTCAGAGGTGTTTAAAGCCTTGTCTGCGGTCGGCATTCCTGCAAAATGAATACAGCTATGCAGGACAACTTTAACTGGCACAATTTTAGCAGCTTATACTTCGGTACAAATCGTATAATTCGTTCGCATTATATTATAAAATTCATTTTCAGCAAAATTTTCAACATTTGTGGCTGAGGTACAAGAAAGGGTGGACCGATGTTTCCCATCTTCGAACCTAATTTAGGATTGCAATAAAAACCTGGGTTCTAAACACGATCGTAGCAAAGTGTATATAGACTCATTAACCATAAAGCTGAAGATATAAAAATAAATTTTTTATAAAAATATATTTTTGAAAACATTCACCAAATTTTTTTATTTTGGCCCACTGTACAGTACATACCTACCAAACATCATCATCATCATCGCCAACATCAGGCCACCCGGTTCAAAATGCAAAACTGATAACGTATCATTTCTTTCGTGTTCCATTCATACATTTTTTATGTTTTAGTTTTTTTCTTCGATAAAAAAAACAACAACAAATTAAGCGTCACGTATTTTGCAATCTCATCGGAACTCCAAACTAATAACAACGGCAATACGTCATCATTTTCGCGAAGCTTCTTTTTTTTATAAAGATTGGCGATGTGAAAATTTTTAAAATGTTGTTTTTTTTTATTTTTTTCTTTTAAACCAACATACAAAACGTAAAACAAACACACTTTGTTCTTTTTATATTTTTTTATTTTTTTGTTCTTTGTTATTGTTGCTTTTTATTATTATTTAAAATTATTAAAAATCTTAATTAGTTAATCAGTAAAAGTAGTAAAAAATTGTATGTGCGTGTGTATGTGTATGCGCATGATCGTGTGTTTGTGTTCTTATAACTAAATTTCAACAAGCTTTAAGTAAATACCACCCTCTTGCGTTAAGAGAGCGTAACGCTTATCAAACTTGATGCTATTGACAGTCTTATCACAGCATTCAACGCGATGATGCTTCAAGAAATGTATGAGGCCCAATTTCACCTGCAACAGGGCGAATGGCTGGGCAATACACTGATGGGGTCCAGCGCCGAATGGCAGATATGTCATGGGTTTATGAGATTTCTTTTGTTCCGGCGAAAAACGTTCCGGATCAAAGAGTTCGGGTTCAGGCCAATACTGTAAATGAAACGAGAACAAAATTGCGGATTAGAAGTGATTAATGAGGTGTTTTTTATTAATTGGTTCGCAAGGGAAAACGTGACTTTCGGTTATAAATACATAAGTAATAAAATAACAAATAAATAAATTATATATAAAAATGAGCAAATGTTACCAGTTTTGAATTGGTTATTTACCTTACCAAGCCCCAGTTGATATCATCCAATGTGCCTGTGTGTAGACCAAGATTCCAGAGTATTTGAGATCCTAGTTTCTCTTACGAAACTTTAATATTTTTGTTGGTCATCAACAGCAACAATTTGTATCAAGATTTCCAAATTTCTTCGTCAATTTAATTTCGAATTAATCAGTCTTAGTAGGCCATAGAATCCTGCGATAATCGCGAATGGAGAAAGTTACGCTGTAATTTGGTGCTATTATTTTTTTTTTTCAGTAAACATTCTTTACTGGTTGTTTCCCAGCGTAAATTCATAGTCAATCCACAAAGAAAATGTTGACCTCCAAAAGTTACCAAAAATAGTGCAACCTTTCTAAGATGGTATACATATGAACCATTAATATGCCACATTGTAGGTTCACTAAGCCACCACATAAAAATATCATTGCTATCGGACAATTTTTGGTTACATGGTGCACTATTTAGATGAAATCAGACGAAAGATTATATGACACCTATATCTAATCGGCACCGATTTTCATGAAACTAAAACTAAAGCAACTGAAATTGCAAACTGTATAAATGACCGGTATCTTTTTTGAAAATATTAATAGGCAATTTATTCACTTTAAAAAACAAAAAACGCAAAATTTATTTTGGAATTAAAAATATTCTATGGGGAAAAAACTAAATTGGCTCAAAAAAGTTGCATTAGTTTTGACCAAGCAAATGGTCAAAACTAATGCAACTTTTTGATTTTTTTCTATTAAAAAAGCAAATTTTGCTAGTAATCGGTAGCTTATCTATTATTTTTCATTACGGAACACATATACGAGGCATTGAATTAATAAAATGCTCAATTTGATCCTTGGGTATACTATTTTTTGGATCCTCAAATTTTAGGAACAAGCTATTTCTGTTTGTATGTAAAACTCTTTTGATTTTTGCTATCCAACAAATTTTCTGTATGAAAAAGATTTGGTGTTTGTGCTGGACATTACAAAAACCTTTGACATATTGTGGGGTATGTTTCGAGGTTATTGTCAAGCTGAAACATCCAAACAACGGTATATTTTCTTTAGCCAAGGGAACCATAGCGTTTTCCAACATACTTGTATAAACAATCCGATCAATTACTTCATAAATCTCGTAAAAATATCGAACTCCATAAAAAGAAAAACAGGCCAATACCATTACTGACCCTTCTCGATTCTTCCCAATACACTTGCAATACTGTGGCACGAGCCTTTCTTAAGGTCATTCTTGCATGTCTGAGTTTTTAATTAATTAGTACGAGAAATGAAAGAACTTTCTTGATAGTTTCTGGGCATGTAGGCCTGCTACCATAGCTCGTCCACGCTCTGTTTTTGAGGTTATATCCAACGATAACCGTCTCAACATTCCGTTAAACTCTTAAATTGGTATTTTTATGATATGACAATTTGTTGATAAGTACGAACTTCTTCTTTTGCAGCCTTCCTCTGTGCTAAACTGTCACTACTGATATAGTGCATAAAATAAATCAAGTTATAACTCGAGAAATCACAGATTTATTCATGGAATATTTCTCCGAAATCAAGTTCTGTGATAAATTAATTTCACAATCACTGGTAATTAGCTGATTTATTAGCCGTGTTTATATTTTTTGGCAGTACGTCAAAATTGAAAATCAGACACATGTTATTCTAATAAAATCCATTTAAAAATTATCTATTAGAATCGAAATAGGTGTTGAAACCAAAACGTTAAAATTATAACTGTAAATATAACTAAAATTTTAGAGCTCATCTGCTTGTACTGTAGAGTTGCTTTAGTTTTGTCCATATATTTTTTTTCATAATCAATTTTGCATTAATCATGAAATTAACACGATATCTACATTTTTGAAAAAGTTATGCGGCTTTTATTAACAGCGGTTTTAGTTGCTTTTATTTTGGCCACCAGTGTATATTGAAGTTGTCACGAAACTTCATCTGCGAAGTAAATTCGAACAAAAATTTCAAATCTCTCGCGAATGTTCGTATTGTACGAAAAATTTACGAAGGATAAAATATCACTGCAAGTGTTTGACAACATTTGAGATGACATAGGAACCAGATGTCGTCGGTGTCAATCTTTAGTTACAGACGGATTTGACGGATTCAACAAAAACGCAATTTTTTATTTTTTATTCATTTTTCTCAATTTGTAAAGGCACTGTAATTTTTCATCCATCAACGAAGCAACAGGGAACTATGGGAACGGAAAACAAAAATAATGACGAAAGAGAGAGAAAGTGTAGGGATTAGTAAATCGATTTTCGATAATCGAATTTTTGTATTGAAAAGTCGAAATTGGTCTGTTTTCACAAACCCCAATTTACCGAAAAATTTAAATTCCGGAACTTTATTTTATGTGTTGACAACAATTCATATAAAAAATAACCTTTAGTCGGTTGTTCATTGAACAGGTTTCAAAAAATCGAAAGATCAAAAAGTCGAATTTTTAGTCAAAGACAAAAATCTAAAATTCGACTTTACGCTCGACCACGTATCCCTAAGAAAGGAATGTTAAAGGAACAAAGCAAGGAGAAAGATCAATCCGTTTCGTGAACCAAACTCTTCTTTTTCCTACAAAATAGACAACCTTTAAAAGGTAAATATATACTTTGATATCATTGTTATCAAGCACGTATAAAGCTCGAAGAGCTTATTCTAGTCCATCCGGCAGATGTATAGATCCAAAATTTACAATAGAAAAAAAGGGGGAAAATAAAAACAAACAACAAAAATAAAAAACACCTAAACTAACTGAAATAAAGAAAAGATAAAAAATTCAATATTATTTTTTTATGGTTTTGAAATTCACGTTTCCCGGCTAATAGAATTGTAATATGAAATCGATTATTGTACAAAATTCAAAACAACATCCGTCAACTTACCTGAGGATCATAATGTAAAGCTAAATTAGATATGTACACAGGCATGCCTCGTCTGGCCATACATTCAGCATTTGGACGGAATGATACAAATCTCTTGCGATTCAATGGCGTGCATTCTCTCTCCAAAAATGGCACAATCGGGTATTTGCGCAGCGTCTCATCGACCACCATACCCAAATAGGTCATACGTTCGACATGTTCGTAATCCAATTCGTTACCATTCAAATCGCCTAGAGTTGCGGTGATTTCTAAATGCAAACGTTCCTGTAACTTCGGTTGGCGGGCCAATTCGTACAGGGCAAATGCCAAAGTGGACGAGGACGTTTGAATTCCAGCCAGCTGGAAAACCGCCGCCTGGGCCACCAGATATTCTTGTTGATGGGCAAAATGCGATTTGTCCGGATTGAGTTCGGCCTCCTTTTTGAATGTCAACAGAGTTTCAATGAGATCATTGCGTAAGATGCCGTTACGCTCACGGTCCTCCAAGACGCCGATAACTAAACGGCGTATAAATTCGGTATGTTCAGAGGTAAACAGTTGGGGTCGTAGAAATTTAACTAACTTGGGTATAATAAAGATAAGGCAGAGGTCAACGGCTCGTCGATAAGAGATGACGAACATCTCACGACTATGCCCACCCAACTGAGAACGCATGGTGTTACGCAGTGAATAGCTTTTCAGGCCGAATGCAATGCTGGCAATCATATCGGTGTTATAGAGATCGCAGATGTCCTTGATCTGTACTATGGGTCCATCGCTGTTGTTGCGTTTCATATCTTTGGTAAGTTTAGCCAAATATGTCTCAAGATCGTAGCCAATCTAGCAAGTGGTGGGGGGATGTTGATACGATTCGGTGAAGACAATGCATGCATGACAGGAAGATAAGAAGAGAAAGAAAAAAAATGATTTTGAATTTGTCTGAATTGCAAATGTGTCTCGGGAGAGAAGAAGATAAGAAGAGAAAGAAAAAAAATGATTTTGAATTTGTCTGAATTGCAAATGTGTCTCGGGAGAGAAAAAAAGGGATGAAAAATAAAACGAAGGCAAAAAACTAAGCAGAGAGTAATAGAGAGAGAGAGAGGGAACAGTGCATTAATGAGAGTCGAACAGATCTATAAAATGTATGAGAGAGTGAAGTTATTTCTTGATGTCAGCGTTGCCAGTTTTTTCTAATGCTAATAACCAAATGAATCTATGTCTTCCCGAAAAAAATAATCCCCACCTATATATTTAATTAAGCTCTTTTCCAGAACCTGCAATAATCTTCAATTTTAATCGAAATTTATTTAGATTTCCCTATATATGGTCTGTTCTTAGATATCATAAAGGAAATTTGTGGTCGTAATTTCAAAAATTTTAGTACGGGAACAGAGCAATTATTTTGTAATAATCATTGGTCTGTTCCAGAACCTGCAAAAAAATTTGCTGCGATTGTTATCGATTTTCCTCCATGAAATCTTTTCCAAAACCTGCACGAATGTACAACGTTTCTTTCGTTCCAGAACCTAAAAGAATCTACTAATTTTACATGTTTTGCACTTTTTACTCGAAACCCATTCCTGAACCTACAAAACTGGTAAAATATTGAATCAAATTTAAGAGAGCACAAAATAAAATGGCGTTCTCTTTGTAAACTTTTTACTCGAGAAAGTTGGCCGAGTAAAGATGGTAAACAGGAATGCCTACTTCCGATTGGCTGTTATGTTGATTTTGAAGTATTGCCACCTTAATTTGGCATATTTCCTAGATTTGCGTTTCCGAATTTTTCAAATTATTTTGTACTCTGAGGTATATTACCCTTTTACTACCATAACTATTAACAAAATTCTGGAACAGACCATATTTTTTCCTTTATGATATCGACCGATACAGTAAAAATTTTTGGTATTTTTGTATTGACGAGAAGCATGTTTCATAATAGTCCTGCAAGTCCTTTAACTGCGTTTGGCACCCTAATATCTTCCAAAAAAAACCCAATAAACTGCTTGAAACATCATCTCCAAATAATTCCCTCCATTTCACAAACGACGTTTTCATGCTCAAAACCATATCCCAAGTTCGATGATTGTATCTAAAATTTAATCCCCAAAAAATCCGCAAACCCAACATCGAATCCCCACTTCCCTACAAAAATCTCCAAATTTCGGGATAAATCCCCTAAACTGGCAACACTGTTTTGATGCCATATTTTGAGTATTTTTTTTCGGAGGGTTTACCTCCCTTCCCTTGCTTTACCTCTTCCATTAACGAAAACATTTGCCTCAGCTTTCCCGTGGAGAAGACGGGAGACATTTTCGTCCTGATATCACGCCACTCTGGATTGCGGGCAAAAAATAAATTCAATGCTCCCATTTTATCCTGATGCCGATCACATTTCGAAAACCGATGTGAGAAATTCACAAAATCCTCAACCAAAACCTGACGTATCACCTGCAGATCGCGCAGCAGCAGAGCCGGTTGATGGAACAGATAAATTCCGACTAGTGGCTCGCGCACGAATCGCTCATTAAAATAGTAGTCGCGCAGCTGCAGTGCAAAAGAATTTTGCATTTTGATGACATCTTTGAGGTTGCCGAGCAGGTGGTGGGGCCGAACAAATTTAACACGTCGACGCTGCCAGTAAACATAGGTACGACGGGACCAAACGAATACTGCAGTCAGAATGGTTACAACAATCAGGAGAATCGTAGTGGCATCTACCATGGCCACCACCAAAACGACGAAGTAGTTGGGCGCTTACAACAGCAAAACAGCAACAACAACACCAGCAGCAGCAACCGTCGTCACCACCACAACTTCCGAAAAACAATTCAAAGAGACAAACATAAAAGTTGTAATAAAAACAAAGAAAGCACAATTGGAGGTTGTTTTTGTTTTGTTGTTGGCTTTTTTCACTTATTCTTTTTTGTTCCACTTCGCGTTGTTATTATTTTTGTTTGGTTTTGTATTCTATTTTTCTTTCGTATTTCACGATCAAATTTGTTTGTTGCCTTTCTTCTCTTTCGTTTTTGTTTTATTTTAGATGCTTGATTTTTACGCTATTTATGAAAGACCAGGAGCACACAACATCAAACACAAAGCGTAATGAAATTGAAAAAAATAGCGAGGCAATGAAAGCAAAAAAATACGACGCGCGTACTGCAAACGAAACGGAACAAAAGTTATTATTTATTTTACTTTCTAATTTTTATTAAAAAATAATAAGAACGTCTGGTTTAGAACCGAGAACCGCGCAGACTGTCAATTCTCTTCGGAAATTTGACAAACAATTGCTGTGGCTATGGATCGCTTACGTACGACCGACATGCTCGCACACTCAATGTACACGTCACGACGCCGTCGTCGTCGTTCGTCAACAACTTTTATAGTAGTAAATGTGGGGGCTGCCGAGCAAAACCGCAAAACAAAATCTCAAATAATAATAACAGCAGCAACAACAACAAAAACGACAGCGAAGGCATGCCGGCAACATATGGATGCTCTCACCGCAAACTTTATCAATTGAAAGTTCGCACAAGCATGCTTTCTAGAGAATAAACAATTTTATAGATACTCGGTTCTCATTACCTACTCACTCTCTCTCTCTCTCCCCATACAAAGGTTGTGCAGAAGACTAAAAAACCGGTCGTTTTCGTACGATTGTTTTGTTGTTGTTTTAGTTGTTTATGGTTGGAAAACAAATGCTCTTGTTTGATGAGGGACTGATGCAAAATTGGAGACTTGTCATAGTAAAGTGGTTTCACTATAATGAATTCAATTTATTATAGAATTCCTCATGAAGACTTTATTAAATTTAAATGTTCCTGTTCCACATGGTTCGACAACATTCCATTATCTCATTAAATCGGTCGTGGTCATAATTAAGTGAGAGTAAATGTAAGTGAGCGCAGCTGAGAATTCATCACCAAAAATGACTGAGAAAAGAGAAAATTTTTTATCAAAATATCTAAAATTAATGGGGACTCCTGGGAAAAATACGTGAGAAAAAGATGATTGAAATTGTCAAAATATCAAATAGTGTGGCTACCGCTATATGGGGCTTCAATAAAACGGAGCTCAATATTGATATATTTTTTTTGTAGTGAGATTCGACAGACAATAAGAATAAAAACGTGCCCAAAATTCTCAAAATACCTATATGGGTCAATATTAATAATTTTTAGTGTGGAGATATGGCGATACCGTATGAGAACCCAAAATGCCAACTTGAAAAATGTGTCAATCAGTCAGTATTGAGAACCTAAAATACTAAATTACAGCCAATTTGATTGAAAATAATGTCAAAAATTCCCGTACTCGGTTGAAATACGTGTGGAAAATAGCCTAAATATCGAACAATGGGGGTACCGTTGTATAGGGGCTACCCTAAAACTTGGGTCGAAATTAATAATTTTTGAGAGAACCCAAAATACCATACAATTCGGTTGAAAAAAACATGACCAAAATCTCCAAAATACCGAATACTGGAGGTATCGTTGTATGGGGGCTGCCCTGAAACATGGGTACATATTAATAATGTTTTTTGCACGAAGATGTCCTACGCAAATATAACTCAAAATACCAAATAACAGCCAATTCGGTTAAGAAACGTGGCCCAAATACGGAATATTTGCTTGCATTGTTTGTGCAAAATTTCAGTGTTCGATCTTAAATATTGCGATCTCTATCGTGATTTCAACAGATGGACAGACAAATGGAAACGCTTTAATCAACGTAGAATTTTATTCTGATCAAGTGAATATATCGAGGTGTTGCAAACGCAATGACAAACTTAATATACACTCCACTTTATGGTGGAAAGATCGGATAGACATGCATTTTTTGGCTCCTTTAAAAAGTCTCAAATACATCAAAATGTTTAAAATACGAGGCCATACCAAAGCTTCGACCGACAATGATACTTTTTGATGGTGACGTCCGGGTAGGATGTTGGCGAGACCGAATTGAAAAAAAAAACTGAACTGTTCATGCACTGAAAAAAAAAATATTCCAAATACACACATTCTGAATCCGTACTACAGCGGATTATGTTGAAAGTAATAATACAGCCGATTTTGTTACCGGATTTAAGCTAATTAATATTTGGTTGGGTGACAAATAAATCTATTATTTTTATATGAACTATAGGATTTTTTTAACATGCATCTGAATGTTCGATTTGGGCAAAATGTTGTTGTATGATTTGTTGCAATTTTAATGGTAACTTCATAATGCCTCTCAAATAGAGGCATTATGAAGTTTTTTGCAATGCAAGAAAAATATCATAATCGCTTGGTGCCAAGTTCGGACTGTAAGGCGGATGCATTCAATCTTCCCAACCAAGCTCCCGAAATTTCTGGCGAGTCACTGTAGATGTGTTTTGCCTGACCGTTGTCCTGACCGTTTCTGGTTAATTGCTATCTTCAAACGGTCCAGTTGTTGACAGTAATAAGAGTCATACGCACATTACAGCGAGCATAAAAATAGAAGAGACCTACGAGCGTCATATGAAAAAATAAAATAACTGAACAATTATTCCTTAAACAAACACCCTACACCCCTACAAGAATAAAAATTGTATTAATGACGTCTCTCTCCCTCTTCAAATTCCGGTATTATACCCTGTACTTTGACCATTCTCAGGCCTCCCCATAATCATGTAAACATCATGTCGAGTCTTTTTTACAGAATATTAAAATTCGATTCTCAGAAGTTTCATTGGCAAAGGGTGTAATAATGTTGTTGTAAACAACCTTGAATCCGCTTACAGTATGTTAATTTACTGATAACAGTCGAGCACGTGCTTCCGAACCGACTAGAAGAAACCCTCAACATAGTTTATGTTGATCTTTACACTTGCCGAACAACAAACAGCCTAATCTAAGATTGGCCCCCTAAAAAAGTGAATTGTTTGAGATGTTAATGGCCCTACTGCGTCGATCGTGTATTACGATTTAGTTGGAGGAAGGAAGGTGTGTTTGTTGTGTGAATGTTTTTTTTACTCTCGGACTCTCACTTTCTCCTCCCATTGGACTATTGCGTGGGGAGAGAAATTAGTTTGCTCTTTTTGAGATAATCACAGCCGATAGGTTGATTCATAGCAAAGTATGCTTACTCACAGTTTTGTAATAAACTAATTAATACACGATTATTTTATAATAATCGAGATAAGCTTTATGTGTGCGCGCTCTATAGCTTCATATAAATATTAGTTGGGTTCTTATGCATTTTAGTATGGCATCCGGCTATTTTAAACTTTGTTTTGTAGGTAGTTATTTTATTTTGTATTTTTTTTCTCATTTACAAAACGAGGGTAAAATACACAATGAATACAAATAACGCCATGTGAAAATAACTAACACCAAAGGGGTCCTTTCACTTCCACTTCGGGCCATTGACCCCAAGAGCAAAGTTTAACATCGCAGCTCAATGCGTCGGGTACTTGTCGACGAACTTAATTGCACTCAACTGATGCGTCGCCGCACTAATAATAATGAATGCAATTGTGACTTAGTAATTCAATAACAATAACAACAATAAAACTGTATGCGGCAAAGAAAACACTTCATTTTTTTGCAAATGCTTTTAAAATATTTGCTTTTATCGAATAAGCAGCTCCGTTTTTCTTTTTTTCATTTTTTTGTAAACACTCTTGACATTCATTTGTTTGTCAACAAGTCTCCTCCTGACTTGTAGAAAAAATGCTTCTTTTTTTCTCGTTTATTACTTCACATCGCATTCGTGCGTTGGGCATTCAATCCATGCGCGCTTAAATATTTCGTACCTCACTGCTGACTACTGCTGGCATAACAAAGAAACAACAACTAGCCGCATATTTGTGGCGCATTAAATGCGCGAAACATACGATCTATGCATACATACATAAATATTGTATTTCACTTTTTGTTACGACTTGGCGATCAACCACTCGTTTGCTCTCAGCTCACAGAGAGAAAAACTAGAGTTTATTCGTGCTTTGAATTAAAGCTCTTCTCACTGGAATCGTTGAGTGGAGTAGAACAATGGGTTAGGGTTACCATATTATGCAGTTTTTATAACATTCACCATAAGATGGAGTGTTTATTTAATTGGATATATCGCTTTTTAACACCTCGAAATATTCATCGGAGAGTATATGAGGTACATAACCAGCAGAATGTCTACTACCATGTCAATAGAAAAAAATGAAATAACGGCGGTTTATAGCATACAACTAGGATCCGATTCAGATGAATCGTAGTGTTATTGCATTGTGAAATAAAATCCATACTAGAATTGAAGAACAAAACAAACTATAATAAAATATTGTCATTTGCAGCTGGTGTTGTACTGTTATTCATTTCTTGATGCCTTTTTATACCCTCCACCATAGTATGGAGGGTATATTAATTTTGTCATTCCGTTTGTAACTGATCGAAATAAAAATTCTAAGACGATCTAGCCATGTCCGTCCGTCTGTTGTAATCATTATATCTTCTGAAGGAATTGAGATAGATCGCCAAAATTTAGCATATAGTCGTCTTTTGTCTGCAGGCAGGTCAGATGGGCTATATCACGTTTAGGCATAGTCCCGCTCAATTTTCGATATTTTGGGGTTCTTCAGCGCGCGTTTCAACAGAATTCGCTTAAATTTGGTACATTGGGTTATTTTTGGGTGTCAAATGTCGCCACTACAAATTATAAAAATCGGTCCACTTTTCCTCTTAGCCCCCATATAACGGTACCCCCCAC